CGACTTCAGCTCCCAGAGTTGAAGTCCACGCATCTTAAAGTTGCCAAGGTTGAAAAACACTGCTCTAAAGGTATAAACAGTACCATCTTCCAAGCCAAAAACCCTCTTAAAGCCCGCAGGGAAGGATGGTTTTTGAAGGACAGGGTCTTCCTCCCAAGATCAGTCTAATTTCAGCCCAGTTTGGTTGCTCACTTGGCACTAACTCCACGAGGCATTCGTGTTGGCGCGTATGCCTTTTTTTAAGGTCACCATGATTCAGAGATTTCACGCAGAGAGCTGAGGAGAAGCTGCCTTAACAACGTATATTAATCAGAAAGCATGCTCCAAAGCGGGGGGGGGGGGGGAGGATGCCCCAGAGCAAGGGAAGAATAGCAATCTGCAAAGGAAACAGCAAAAATAATTATCCCTGATACATATGTGTAGTTGTTGCACGCAGCCTTCCCATTTCAATATGGAATGAGTAATCATAATTGGCGTGGGACTCCCCTCCATGTAGCAAATCATGCCATTTAATCAATGCAGTACATTTCGGACCTTCGCACGGCGGAATCCGGCTCCCGTCGCCCAACGCCACTCGCCGTCTGAGAAACGGCTGCTGCAGGGAAACCTATCAATCAACCCACGGCGAAAACCATTTCCTTATCCTCTTTTCATGTAAAGCGTTCTAGGGGGTGGCCCCACAGGGCAAGGATAAATAAGCAGAGCGGCACCACTCCCTTCCACCGGGCGTGTGATCGACTGGCACTGTCGGGAGAGGCGCGCAGCTTGTTCAGCAACCCCGGGTGTCGACGCAGCTGCGAGGCCTCTGCTGACAGCAACCTTCTCAGCCTCCCAGTACAGGGGTGTGACAGTGACTCACGCCCATGTTGGGGAGGCCGGAGAGATCATCAGCCTTACTTCTACCTCAAGCACAAAGCCCAAAGGCTGCACCTTCGGAGACAGAAGATAAAATGGTGAGGCTAACCAGGTGCCAATAACCCCAAACTGGCAGAGATGCTCATTTCAAATTTTCAGATTGTTCTCGTCTCAGTGGGGCCTGGCCCTGTGCCCTTTCCAATACATCCTTCCTTCTATTCCTTCTTCCCTCCGGTGTTCTTCCTCCATCCAGCCCTTCCGGTCCTAGCGTTAAAGTCCTGGACACAATTCTCCCCTCCTTGGCTACGCTGTCCAGGCTTCGTAAAGCACACAGCAAGAACCCCCGAGGCAACCATCCCTCAGGTCCATCCCATCATTTCGATCGGCAGCCTGCCTTTGCACCTCCACGGAACTCGGGATACCTCACCGCAAAATCAAACCATTAAACAGCAAAAACTCAGCCCGTTGCGAGATCGGAGTGGCCCATTTTAGGACTGAAACATTCCAGGACAGTGTGCCTTTGCTTAGGAGGGGTGCAGAAGAGCGGCTCTCTCCCAAGATTGAGAGATGGGCCTCTAAAGAGCCTTATGAGGGCTTTTCCTGCTAAGCTTAGCTCCCAGACAAGCTCACGCTGAGGCAGACAGCCCTTCGGGCAGGAGGCACTAAGCTCTTTAAGACTTTAAAGGTTAAATTTGGGTGGCGCGCCGAGAACAACTGACAACTTGGGCAGATCCTTCAGCTAGAAGATAATGCGACTTGCAGCATAAGGCACAGGGAGCAGCCTCGCTGGGATATTCTGCAGCTCGGCTCCAGAGGGAAGCATGCTGACGGGTAAGAAAATCGAATCAAGGTTAGGGGTCCGTTCATGACAAGGAGGAAGGGAACGTGGATGGAAAAGGAAAAAGGACGTGCCATTGCTGATCAGAGAAAAGGAAATTCAACAGAGGAAGGAACAGAAGAACCAGACCTGTTCCTTTTATGCAGGAGCTTAGGACACGCTGTTAAGCTTCAATGCAGGAATGGCAACTTCATTGTAGTAGGGTAGAATTAATGAATCTTGAAAGTCCAAGTTTTTCTACTCCGAATTATACCATACTAAACAAAATCAAGGTGGGGTTATTTTGAGTTTCTCGCCCACCCTTTCCTTTTCACCAGTCATTTTTTCTGGAGGTCCCCCTTAGCAGCTCACTTGTTCCTTTCAGAGTCAGCTCGACCTTCCTTCTCACACACATCTACCCTAACATGAGAGCATAGACGCTAAGGTAACATGCAGTATTCAGTTGACCATGGACTGTGCGACACGCGTGTTTGCTTTCACCCAAGGAAGAAACCCTGGCTTTTAATCAGTGGATATCAGGCTATTCCACAATTAACCCAACAGAGAGGTTTGAACAATGCGCGACAAGGGGAAATGAGGTTGTGTGTGATCGTTGTGAGAGGAAAGGGGTGCTTTTGTGATGGAATGGAATTATGAAGGCCAGGCTCAGGGAGATAAACATTTTCTTAGCTGCCCAGAAGAGCGTGGGAGGAACAAGAGGATGTTCTAGGAAGATTGATGTCTGGCCCAGCCCAAGGAACTCCAAGAAACAATTCAAATTCAGTCCAGTTATTTTTATTAGCTACAACCTCTAGCAAGAATCTTCCCAGACTGAAACCCCAGCTCCCAAAGTCATCCAGCCACAACAGTGTGAATTCCTCAGGGAGGTGCCAGTCTCATCCTCTTG